AACGAACGGCGAGCTCTGTAAACTTACTAATGCTTTGTCTGTTGGTTCGTAAGCAAGGTGCGGTATTGGCATTCCTACCACGATGCTCCCATGCGTCCGAGGTGCCAACCTCTGAAAGGCTGAAACTCTGCGCGGGTCGTGTGCCCTGGTATCCTCCTTCCATCGTGCCCTTTCTTCCAACACAGTTCGTAAGTCAGATGATCTAGGCAACTCTGTGTGCCTAGACGACGTCTGATGCGTGTGCGAGGGCCGATAAGTGCTTCCCTCAGTATATGACCTCTCAGTTCTCGTTCTCTCAGACCTGGAGTAACAAGTCCTGGAAGTCCTCGATTGAGTGTCGCCTGTTCTAAGGCTCCTACTTTCTGCTTGCGATGGTGTGGTACGCCTATCACGATCCTTTAAGTGGCAAGGGGGCATGTTGCCTTTGCGCCCCTCTCATGTCGCCACCCCTTTTCCTTTTATCTGGCGCTTCATTGACTCCATGTCTGCCGCCATCTTCTTTATTAACTCGTTCTGCTCCTTCACGCGATCCTCCAGAACTTGATGGTCCATCATCCGCCTCTATCTTTCAGGACTTTGAGAACGACGGGGGCTGTTAGCCCGTCTCCCCCTTACATCCCTCCGGGGGTTCTGTCGCTGGGGTTCTAAATCCGCCATGGGAAGGATAGCAGGCAAACCTTCGCGCCTCCCACCCCCCTCCGGGGTTTGTCCGTCAATAGCGGATTGCGGCAAATCCTCATTGTGCGTCATTGGTTTCAATTAAAGAGGAAAACTCGATCAAGAGGTTTTGTTCTTTGTGTTTTTCCACAAACGGCGCCAATTACAGGAGCACGAAATAATGTTATCGTATAATTTTGTTAATCGAGTCTGCGCTCCTCCAAACGTCCTCGCTTTACTCCCTGAAAACACAAACGTGAGCTAGTCGGTGGGTGTGTGCCAGATACCTCTCCGATGCCTAAGTCAGCAAAATCGACAACTAGACAAAAGCTCTGTGTATTCAAGAATCAAAGTTGTGTTACCTCTACATAGGTTATGTTGCGAGCTTTTATAGATTCCGCATAGCACAATCCTAGTAGGACTCTTATTCCTTCATGTAAAGTCCTCCTAGGAATCACACTCTTGAAAGATAATGCTTATCCTTCAACACCTCCCTCACTGCTTAAACCAAGTGAGATGGTTTTACCACAGTTGGATGACAGTATGACCGAGCTAACACTAGCCCTTTGTCATACTTAATCCAACGTCTTCACATGTAACACATAGCTCGGCTCTCGTTTCACTTGTACCTCGGTTTTGGCCTGTTAAGACCGAGCTAACCATACCAAGCTTCAACCGAGCTATCAAGAGCAAGGTCCTTCGCAGGAAGCCCAAATACCTCATCTCCGAACACTATGACCGAGCTAATCACCACTCCGACCGTGGTGACTGTAACCATATTAGGACCAAGCTAACTACAAGGTCCTTTCACTCAAACCTTTTTACCGCGGCCCACAGAGCGGCCCATTACCACGCCTTGGCCTAGCTCGGCCCTAATGCACATAAAAACTCCCTCTCATTCACAATCAACCTAATTGATATATTTCCATAATTACATAATATTCTCACAGATGCTACATATGTATAGTATGCTCAAAAACGATTTTTCATTTCTTAAAAAGGTTTACATTAATCTCAATGACCAACACTAGACTTTCTCATTAAACTAACATTTCTCAATTTCATTCATATAAACATGGTAAATCCTCTCAAGTATATGTATCTGTTGGTGGTCATTACTAAGTACCACCTAATCTAGTGTGCTATATGAAGCAACACTCTGGCAGTGACCATTGCTAAGCGGCATCTAAACACCACCAAATTTACTAGTTTCTAATTGAAATGACCTTGGCACCTACACTATGTGAGTTTTTAATCTTTCACGATGGACTATCAAGCCAAATTATTCCCTACCTCAACTATACATGACCCGGATTTGCCACCATTATCCAATTAAAATCATAATGTTTTTGTGTAATTTATGTAATAAATGCAACTACTCAATTCTAATAAAATGAGCTCCATGCACCTCCATTTAACAACGGGTTTTCGTTTTCATGAATTCAAAATTTTCATAATAAAATAATTATTAAATACGAGTGTTTGCCAACCTATTGTATCAACAACTACAACAATTTCATTCTCTACCAATGGCCAAACAATTATCTCTAACAAATTATATGAGTTTATACTTGATTTCAACATAACACTATTGATTTCAACAATACATCATCAATTTCTCATTTTCTGCAATATCATTAAGATTTTTCACAATTTCTCAATTTATAACACCCTCATACAATTTTATAAAATGAAATAAGTTCAATAATAAAATTATTGAGAAATACCCAACTAATCATCAAGCCCTAATCCTCTATCATGCCATCTCTCAAAATCTCTAACAATAACTCAAAATTTCTTTATCAAAATACCACACATACACCAATAAATCCATATTAGGACTCGTTTGGCAAGTGACTTTTTTTAGTAAAAAAGTCACTAAAAAAATCAAAAAGCTAACAATCCATACCAAAAAGTCAAAAATTCCCTTTTCTTTCTACTTTTTACCCATCTTTTCCTAAAATATTAAAAAGTCATCCCAAACATACTTATGTTTTTTACATTACATTTTAGTCAAAAAGCCAAAAAATTACTAAAAAAGCCTGTTCCCAAATAATGAAAAGAAACCCTACATCTTGGAGAGGAGGAAGAAAATGCAAAAGTTGACGAAATGAAGATTTGCTTAGACCAAAATGAAGCGCTCACCGTGCTCTACAACCTTATAGCCCGGATTTTGGAACAATTTCCACTCTAAGGTAGCTAATTAAGGCTTTCGTGTGATTAATGTGTTTGGTGGAAAATACAAATATATAGAGAGAGAGAGAGAAGAGATCCGAATAAATGATCTCTAGCCAGGAAGCAGATAGACCGCTCCCTCTAATGTGATCAATCACTGACGCCCAGAAATTTTGTGGTTTTTGCTGTCTCAATCCGCTCATTTCACCTGTTGAAGTCCCATTTTTAAAGAAAGTTTTCTACACTTTTATTTTTCGTCCTTACACCCAAAACTCAATTATCAAAAGAGTTACACGCTAAGCAAGAATCAATATTGACTTAATCACACAGCAGAAGAGGCAAAACCAAGAAGGGAAGGCCTTTGCTACAATTGTGAAGAAAAGTTTCGTCCCGGTCATAAATGTAAAGTTCAAACCTTGCAATGATGATATAGAAGAAGATCAAGAAACCAAACTTGCAGACAAGGTTGATTTAAGGGTAGAGGGTTGATATGTGTAATTTTTATTTCGTAAATATTTTGTGTATTTTGTGAGTGTTATAGGGTAAGTGCGAGTGTTTGGGTCATAGTGGCTAAGTGGATTGGGTGGTGTGGAAGGTAATTGAATATATTTAGGAATAGTTTGACTGTTTGTTATAGTGTATATATAGGAAAATGCTAGAGGTTCAAATTTTTTACCAAATAAATGACCAAATGTCTCACATGGATATGGGGCCCACAAAATTGCGGACCCCACACCCATGTGACATTTGGTCATTTGTTTGGTAGAAAATTTGGTGTCCCTAGCATTGCTCAGTATTCCTCGAGTTAATGAAAAAGATAAACAGACATGTGTTTATGTTAATATGAAATTTTCCTAGAGGATTAGGAGGCTAGATCCCCCACAAACTGGGTCACTTTATTTAAACATCAAAATTGCTACCAAAAAGAAAAATCAACGAAGAAGAAAAATGATTTACCGATCGGGAGAGAGTAACCTTTGTCTCTATACATAAAAAGAAGATGAAAAGTCACCTTTAAGAGTCCAAACATTTCCAACTACTCAATAAAACGCAAAGAAGATGAACAACTGTTGTTTTTTGGTCTCCCAAACATTTCAAACTCCTAAATAAAAAGTCATTTCTATAACCGGCATTTCAAACAGTCATGATACATAAAGTAATTAGTTTAAATGATTAGGAATAATTTGGGAATAAAAAAATGTAAAAAAAACAAATGGATATCCTCGTTCTTTTTAAAGTAGAGTAGATATGAAAAATTTTATTTTTACACACTTAAATAACTCAGAACAAATTTTTTCTCAATACACACACCTGATAATTTATTTATTGATTGTTTTTCTCAATCCACACACTGAAACTTACAATTATATCCTTCACTTAAATATTATTGTACACACACTTATCCCTCCTTTTCACACACTTTTTGAAAACTTGAAGACCAAAAAAATTCCACTCAGGTGAAGCTTGAATACCAATCTAAAGACCACATTCTTGAACTACCCGTGAAGTGAATAATGTTTTTAAATCCTCAACCAAGACTTCAAGAGAAAACCCAGATCAATTTTTTAGGGTTTTCATGCCAATAATCATTCAGAAGTCAACCAACCCAATCATCAACACACACAAACCTACCTACCAGGTAATGATTGAAATCCAGTTGCTAGTATCTTCACTATAAACCATCCATTTTTGCAAGCAAACAAAGTCAAACAAACCCTCCTCTCAAAATGAAATTAAAAAATCAGTGTGTTGGGTTTTACAAGAAAAGCAACAATCTGATCAGATTTCAAAGATTTCTCATCAATTGACCAAACTAGTCCTTTCAATTTACACTCCTGCAAACAAAGAATTAAGAAAGATATACAAAATCATATACAAGCTACCATATGAGATTTATATAAAATCTGAGTGACTTACCCCGGAGATTCAAATGATCATGAAGTGAGTGAAGTGAGTCAACCCATCCATGGAAGACATAGAAGGTGTTGTTGGAGGTCTATTATGGTCATTAAGATTTAAGGTATAATTGTCATTAAATTAAAAATTCATTAAGTGTGTTCCCTTAGTTATTTAGGCGTGTGGAAATAGAATATCCAAAGTTCACAACTAACAGTAAAACAACATCCAAGAAAACAATTCATTCAAACAAATAGCAATGTCTAGCTTGCAATAACGAGCAGATTTTGTCCTGAGACAACCACAAATAAATAAAAATTAAACTTATCTGTATGAATATATCATTTTAATTATGCCATAAAGGGAAAAGAAATAGCAAAAAAATAAAAATAAAAATAAAAATAAACAGTGCACTTTATTAAAAGGGCAAACACTAAATTCTCTATTATATACAACAAATACATTCTCTCCTGGTATTTGTTTGCCTATTTAGTAAACAACTGAGCAAATCATCATGAAGAACAAGAGAGCATGCCCACACCGGGACGATAAGCCCAAGCTGGGGGCAAGCGAGCATATTTTTCCATTCCTGGTTGCTCATCATATGGCCGTTCCATCACCTTCAGCAGCCTGTGAACCTCTCCAAAATCACCTTGTTCAGCTGTGTCTATTGCACTTTGGCATAAATAATTCCTAAGAATGTACTTCGGATTCACAGAATCCATTGAGGCCTTTCTCTGCCCATCTGAAATATCACTACCAGAGAGCTGTGCAAGCCACACAAAAAAAAAAAAGATGTCAAGGATAGGAAACTTGTGAACAAAAATGCACCTATCTTCTCACCATATGTCAAGAGAAGACGCAATAAACGAAACCTGTCAACGTTCTTGGTCAAAACATGCATTGATAAAACTAACAATATGCCGATGTCCTACTTGCAGAAAAGAAAAACATTTTATTTTTTTATTTTGAAATTCTACATATGAAATGGGTTGCCAGCTTGTTCTCAATAAGCAGCATCCAAGAAATCTAAGTGCATACTAGTCATCCATATATTTGCCAAAAGGGCGGAAGAAAGCACAAGTTACGTGAATGACACAGATTTGGAGCAAGGCCTCTCTTACTTTCCTCCACCTGTGTGATCACAAGATAGTTGAAACAGCAAAGCATTTGGCTTCAGCAAAGATTTTAGAGTCATCTTAACAAACTATTTTCTTTTTGGCAAATCAAATAAAATAGTAGGACAAATTATGAAGAAAACTTGAGACACTCCAACAAATTTCATCCTCAAAAATCATACAAACCAAAAACACTAGGCCCTAAAACACTAGGCAATGGGACAACCACCAAACCAAACTAAGTTTTGTGTTCCAAACCTAAAGATGCTAAGGATATTCGCATATACACAAGTGTAGGTGCTCTCATTCTCAAGTATTCTGAAAATCATTGCTGTCACACTGTTGCTTAAGTAAATGTTTGCCCTTTGCTCATCAAGCGAAAAACATAGCAACAGCAATAAAACACAATTATAAGCAAAAATCTGCCATGAACAACAAAAAATGCTCGAGAGAACACCAAAAAAAGTTACAATGAATATTTGAGTGAATTAAATGAGATACTTAGTAATATTCAAAAAGGCATTAGTGGTACATTGTCATACCCATGAGAAGCACATTTAGACAAACTGATCTTGCAGCATTCTTGAAATGATGATTTAAATGATTCTTTTTTTTTTTTTCTTTCTTTTTTTATCTGATGGGGACTATGCACCAATAGAATCCCACATCCGTTTAATCTTGTGGTCCAAGTTTAGTATACTTCAATGAATATTTGAGTGACTTAAATGAGATACTTAGTGATGTCCAAAAAGGCATTAGTGGTACATTGTCATACCCATGAGAAGCACATTTAGACAAACTGATCTTGCAGCATTCTTGAAATGATGATTTAAATGATTCTCTTTCTTTTTTTATCTGATGGGGACTATGCACCAATAGAATCCCACATCCGTTTAATCTTGTGGTCCAAGTTTTGTATACTTCACCTCTCTCAACTGAGTTTTGTTAGGTCTTAAAAGTAAATCCATTTTTTTAACTCAAGAATAAATAAAAGATCATCTAAACTGTCATCATAATCAAACCTATGGCAATTTAGAACTTGTTGAATTTTTAATTGAGAATTTAAAATTTTACCATTGAGATGATTTATGAGTTATTATTGGTAATTATCTTCATCAATATAAAAAAAGGTTTTGAAGTTCATAAAAATGTTAGAGAATGTTGCTGTACCTCCTCTATGTAGGATTGTACCCAGCTGTTCCATGCCTCCTTGCGCTCCTTTCCAATATCCAATAGAACAGCTTTCAGTGGAATTAACAATTCCTTTTCTGGAATGCTGGGGTCAGCTTTAATATTGGAAAGAAGCCGAAAGAAATTTGTGTAATCTACTTTGTCTACAGCCATGTTGTTAAGAAGTTTACTAATCAACTGTTTATTGTACTTTGGGAGGCCAAGTTTTTTGGTCATTATTGCTTGATACTCATCCATAAACTTGGTTCCATATCTGTAACAAGTCAAGAACACACAGTATAAAAACATAGACTAACCAGTAAGCATTGTTATTGCAAGAAAGGTTAAGAAGTCATAAATACCGTTCCATGACATAATTTGTCTCCTTATCATTTACTAACTGAGCAGCTGAAAGGGTTGATGCGAACTGCGCAATATTCCATAAACCAATATCAGGCTGATTTGCAAAACAGTACCTTCTCCCTGGAAGATCTGTAGTATTTGGAGTGTAACTGGGATCAAAAGCATCCAAAAAACCAAAAGGACCATAATCAATAGTAAGTCCTAACACACTCATGTTGTCAGTGTTCAGAACGCCATGAGTGAAACCAACACCCTGCCAGCTTGCCACCAAGGAAGCAGTACGTTCAGCAACTTCCACTGCCCAAGCTAATAAATCCACCAAAAAACAAAAAGAAGAAAGGAATTAAAATGGACTCTAGAGCAAAGTCTTTATGTCAACATATAATAATAGCAATGTAATGCAATCCAAATGCAAATCAATGATCAATTTGAGAGAGAGAAGACAAATGCCCCAACTAGGAGTAAAACCCCCAAGGGCTAGAGAGAGAAACCAAGCTCTACTCCAATCAAAATGTATATTCTTTAATCCAAAAACTAAGTACAATGGTATTACATCACCTATTTGTAGACTACAACAAATTGGCCAACTAATCATACACAACATCCGTATAGATCAGGCTTTGTAAAATAGATGGAAGTTGAACTACTTGTTAGCGCAAAGCAATGAAAAAATAAAGTTCAGTATCAAAGAAAGAAATACATGGATAATCTACACCTCACATAGGTCTCGATGTAAAAAACAATAGTACATTTTTATTTTGGGGGATAATTAGGTAAACAAGTAATGATATACACACAAAATTCTTGCACAGAATGATGTGGTCCATTTATTTTTGTAGGTACTTGTACCATGCCCACGTGGTGAGCCCTATGGGCGCCACGTCATCACCATCACATCCCCACATGGCAGACCTCCAAGGCACCACGATATGCCTAACGAGGGCATACACACCACCAAGTACGAAGCTCACTAGTGCGGCTACTACCCTAACAATATAACCTCAAAAGCAAACGAGTCGAAGAATGAAGAGCCCAACTCGGCAGCACCATTTCTCAACTAGAGCCCTCGGCTCACCTATGTTCACTTGGTTACTTAGGTTGAGCCCTTGGCTCGCCTATGTTCTGACTCAATTTACTTAGTCACTTGGCCACCTAGTTTGGAAGCAAGACCTAGGCAAACCCACTAGGAATTATTGGATGATTGTGGATTGGACGCTAAGAGCATAGGTTCGTCAAGCTTGCTTGGTTGTCTGCCTACAATGAAAGCTCCACCTTGACCAAGCTTAGAGAAAGCGGACGTTGACCTTATGCTTATGCCTGCTGCATACATGATACACTCTCCAATATATCATACCTACCTCTGCAACTCCTATGATGCAACCTTCTAAAGGACCTGAATCATATGACACAGCTCTTAGAGCGGACATCTGTGAGAATATTAGGTTTTGTGTATATATGGTAATATATATATTAGGGATTTGAGTCAATATTCTTGTTTCCTTTTCAGTCATAGGTTAGATTGTTATATAAAGCGATGTACTCTTTTATTACAAAAACAATTTTGAATATACAAAAATCATTTAGAAATCTTACATATCAGAGCTAGGTTCGAAACCCTAGCAACCGTTGTCAATTCTTCTCTAGTTCAGCTTTCTAGATCCATGTGACCTATCTGAGTTCGAATCGCAATCCACCGATTGTGGTTCTCTTGCTGGTCTAGTTCAAGATTGGGCTTGGCTTATTTGGTCATTTGATTCGCGACATTGATTCGTAGGTGGTCCTTGATGTGCCGTACCCTCTCTGGTTCATGGATTGTAAGTGATCATGACTGTGTGTGAGGGCTTCGTCTGGTTCATCAAGTCCTACAAGGGATGTTTCTCTCTCTCGCTTTGATTCACTATCATCTCTCTGGCTTAGCTTCATATCGCAAAGATTGTCTCTCTGGCTAGGAATCTCTCTCTGAATTAGGTTTGGATCTTTGACCCATCTGAGGTATTATCATCTGGTGCCTTATTTGAGATGTTATTCACTTGGTAATTTAGTGCTTATTATTCTTTGACCCCAGTGGATATCCCTATTTGTGTATTGGCTCTCCTTTGTTTGGATCTTTTATATTGTTCTTGCTAGTTCATTACAATGACGGATGATAAGTTGGCTAGGCCCAAAAATAGGCTACTGGCTTCAGATGAGTATGCTTACTGCCATCAGAAAGGCCATTGGAAGTATCATTGTCCCAAGAAGGAATATCTGCTTGTCTCGTCTTCTTAGCAGTCTTAGACTCAGTTTCGTGCTCCTTCTCAAAGTACTCTTCGGCCTCCCGCCACTTATACTGCTCTTGTTTCAGCTCTTGATCTTGACTTGGCTTCATTGAGTGCTCAGATTGGTCAGTTTTCAACATACACTACCTACCTCTCAGCCATCCCCGTCTGCCTCCGTTGTTTCCTCACTTCATTCAGGTTTGCTTGGGTTTTCTTCATGCATGTCTTCGTCTGTTTGGCTTTTTGATTCTAGTGTCTCTCATCATATGACTCCTCGTCTCTCCTTACTTTAGAATTGTACTCCCCTTCCCTTTTCTATTACTATCAAGGTTCTGAAAAGCGGTTGCGGTCGTCGTAACGCTGGCGGTGGTGTAGTTACAATTGCAGGATGTAAAGGCCGTAGCGTAACGATTGCGGTAACCAGAACCGTGAATTTTTTTATTTTTTGCACAATTTGAAAAAAATTTACCGATACGCATTTTTTTTTCCCATAATCATATTTATTGGGTTTTAAAATAAATATTGATCAATTTTTGTAAATTTTTAAGTATGATCCAATATATTTCATATTTTTAAATTACTAAAAATTAAGTTTTTTACATTTTATTTTAATAATTAATGACTTTATATGTCATAAATTCATATTACGCTTGTGGCAACCAAAAAAAAAATTTTTATTAAACTTAGATGTATAAAATTATTTTTTTGATTATTATACTTGTGGAAGCATATGCAAGTTTTAACTTGAATAGTTTTAAAAAAATAAATTATACATGCTAAGGTAATCATGTAAAAATTAAAAAATAAATTATAAAGAATTTTTTTTTTTTTGATTTGGATCACTTGAATATTCATTCTCTTTTTGGATAACCTGTAAATAAAAAAAAAAATTGACATGTATAAAATATGTATTAATATATAATTATAGGTGTTATGTTTTCTAGATATTTTACGAAAAAATCAATCACTAACTATTATGTATAAGATAAACAATGACAAAAGTAAGAGAATAAATAAGAGCCTAAACATATATATATATATATATATATTTTAATCAAGCCAAATAGATAATGACCACACTTATTATTATTATTATTATTATTATTATTATTATTATTATTATCAAACAATATATAGATAGATAGACACACAAACAAAATGGTTGAGTGAGAGCAGCTGACTAGAATAGCATAGGTCTTACAGTTTTAACAAATCAATAATATGTTCTTCATCTTCTCTCTTCTCTCCCTATCTCTTGCCCCTCCATCTTCCCTCTTCTCTCTCTATTCATCTTCTCCTATTTTCAACTTTTTTTTTGTGTGTGTTTTTTTGATAGAAGCAGTTCAGAACCGTTACGTAAGTTGTTACGGTACCGTTACGACCGCTACGGCAGCCGCTACGACCGACACACCTATGAATCTCAATCACACTGCAAAAGCGGCCGTAACGAGTGGTGGTAACCACCACAATCGTTACGTAACGGTTGCGGCCACTTTTTAAAACCTTGATTACTATTAATGCTGCTACCAAGTCTAATATGTTTGTTATATCTGTTGGGTCTGCTCTGCCATCTGTTATGTCTGTTGTCTCTATTCCATCTATTCTTTATATTCCTCAGTTATCTGTCAGTTTATTATCTATCAATCAACTTGATGGCTTCAGTTTTGATATTATCTTTTCTTCTTCTATCTGTTTTGTACAAGATCAGATGTCCGAGTAGTAGATTAGGACTGGTCGTAAAGTTGGAGACCTCTATGTGGTGGGAGCTTGCATCTGTCTATGACTATCTATTCGACTGCCTTTTCCTCCTTTTAGTTAGATTCTCTGTTAAGTTCTTTCTATTTGTGACATTCCAAATTGGGACATTTGTCTGTTGACCGATTACGGTCTTTAGCTCAATCAGGTAGATTGGGTAAAGTTTCTCCTAGTCAACTTACTGAGTGTCCGGGGTGTAAATTTGCCAAAATGACAGCCTTATCTTTTCGTAAAAGTACGTCTATATCTGATACACTATTTTCTTTTATTCATACTAATGTATGGAGTTCTTCTCATGTTCTCACTAAAGGGGGTTCTACATACTATGTGTCATTTGTTGAAGACTGCAACTTTTACACTTGGGTTTATCTTATGACTCATAAGTCTGACTTTTACCAGATATACCGTACTTTTCAGTCTGACTTGGATACCATTAAATTGTTAAATTGTTACGGTCTAACTTGGGTGAGAAATATTTTAAAACTGAGTTCTGTGAGTATTTGGTCAATTTGAGTACCATTCACCAAACTTCTTATATTGATACACCTGCCCAAAATGGTTGAGCTGAGCGTAAGCACTGTTATCTCCTTGAGACAGCTAGGTCTCTCTTTCTCTATGCCTTTTGTTCTAGCTCCGTTTTAGGGTGATGCAATTCTTACTGCTTTTCTTCTCAACTGTATGCCTACTTCCCTTTTCTCTAGTCGGTCTCCTTATGAGACTTTGTTTTCTCAACTTCCTAATTAATACCTCCTTCGTGTGTTTGGGTCTGCTTGTTTAGTCTTTTTACCCAATAAAGATAAAACCAAACTTAGTACCTGATCTGTCCGGTGTGTCTTTTTGAGTTACAATCTCACTCAGAAAGGTTATCGCTATTATAACCTTGTTTCCCGTGGCCTTCATGTCTCCCGCGATGTTGCCTTTCTCCAACATCTACCTTACTTTCAGCTTCCTCCTCTCACAACTCCAGTTTCCAAAGAGGATTTAGTTCATATTGATCTATTTCCTTTTGAAGTCCCTGGTGATAAGTACATCTCTGTTGTTTACCATGAGCTTGTTTCCTCTTCTTCTCGTACCACCCCGCCTAATAAGTCCCTCTCCACTAACCCTTATGAGTATGTTCCCTCTCCTCCTCCTCTTCCGTTGTTAATCTATTTTCGTCGCAAAACTCTCCCTCCACCAGTTACCTCTGCCTCTGCTGTTGATTCGCCTGCTTCTAACGACTCTGATCTTGCTAACCTTAAATATCCCCTTCGCATCCGTAAACAGGTAGTTAAACTTGATTTTGCTAAAACATATGTTTATCCATACTGTACATTTTTTTCTGTTATTCACTCTTTTTTAGAACCTTAGTCTTACAAGGAGGGCTATCAAGATTCTCATTGGATTCGAGCTATAGAAGATGAGTTGTCTACTTCGCAAAAAACTAGTACTTGGGAGTTAATTCTTTTGCCTGCTAGTAAGAATCTGGTTAGTTGCAAATGGGTTTACAAAGTCAAGACTCATTTTGATGATTCTCCTAAGCATTACAAAACTCACTTAGTTGCCAAGAGTTTCTCATAGGAGTATGGTATTGATTATGAGGAGACATTTGCCCATGTTGTCAAGATGACTATTATTCGTACTTTGATCTCTGTAGCTGCTGTTCGTCATTAACCTCTTTATCAGATAGATGTTAAGAATGCTTTTCTTAATGGCCATATCACTGAGGAGGTTTACATGCATCCTCCCCCTGGCCTTCACCATTCTTCTGGACAGGTTTGTCGTCTACGACATGCTCTGTATGGTTTGATACAATCTCCTCATGCTTGGTATGATCGTTTTCAGACTGCTGTTATTGAGTTTGGGTTTCATCCTTATGCCTAGGACTACTTTGTTTCTTCTCCACACCTCTGTTATCTTTATTGGCTTATTACTGTATGTGGATGATATGATCATCACTGGCTCTGACTCTTCTACTATCTCTAAGGTCAAGCAACATCTCTTCCACACTTTCGAAATGAAGGATTTGGGCCCATTGCGATATTTTCTTGGTATTGAGGTAGCTTCTTCTCCTAAAAGCTACTTTTTGTCTCAAGCCAAGCATACAAATAAGCTTATTCACCATGCTAGTCTGACTGACACTAAGATTTTTGATACCCCTATTGAGCATAATGTAAAGCTTAACACTACTGATGGTGTTCCTCTGGATGATCCCACTTTATATCGAGACCTTGTTGGTTGCTTAGTCTTTCTGATTGTCACTCACTCTGATCTTGCATATGTTGTTCATGTGGTTTGCCAGTTCGTTTCTGCTCCTCATTCTACTCATTGGGCCGCTTTGATTCGTATTCTTGGCTATCTCAAGGGTACTATAATTCAGGACTTACTGTTGTCCTCTACTTCCTCTTTAGATTTGGTAACCTATGTTGATTCTGACTGGACTGGTGATGTTACTGATCGCAAATCTACGTCTGGTTTCTGTATGTTTCTTGATAATTCCTCAATCTCTTGAAAAAGCGAGAAACAAACTGTTGTTGCTCACTCTATTGCCAAAGCTAAGTATCGTGCTATGGCTCATGCTATTGTTGAGATTGTTTGGCTTTGCTGTCTGTTGTCTGATTTGGGTGTACCACAGTTTTCTCCAACCTCTATTGTGACAACCGCAATGCTATTTAGATTGCTCATAACACTATCTTCGATGAGTGGACAAAACACATTGACATTGATTGTCACTTAGTCCGTCAGCATCTGCAGCCTAACTCTATTTCGCTTCATTTCATCTCTTCAGCTATACAACTTGCTAATTTTTTTATCAAAGCTCACACCACTGCTCGGTTTCAGTTTCTTCTTGGTAAACTCTCAGTATTTTCTGCTAAAACATCTTGAGTTTGAGTTGGGGTGTGAGAATATTAAGTCTTGTGTATATATGGTAGTATATGTATTTTGTATATATTAGGGATTTGAGTCAATATTCTTGTTTCCTTTCAGTTATAGGTTAGATTGTTATATAAAGCGATGTACTCTTTTATTACAAAAAGAATTTTGAATATACAGAAATCTTACAATATCACCCTCCTATCAAGTTAATGAAAACTTGCCACCCGTCCATAGGTTGTTTGGGCTCCATTACTCCTGGAGTTTATATAATAGTATCTCAAGAATGCAGCCACCACCATAACATAACATCACAACACTATAATCGTAAACATACAGCAACACGAGCTCTAGCCTATCTTGCACACAAACTCTAAAGTGTTCAAGGTCTCTCACTGCCACCATCTCTATCTCTTAAGGCTACCTTGGTCTTCTCCTCCTTCACCTCCAGCGACCTTTGAGCAATTGAAGTGCCCACCATCTTCCCAGAGGTCCACAACTGACCACCTCTAACCTCTCACACCCACAATTTCCAATCAAAACACCTACTGTTTTCACTCAATTCAAAAAAGGCCACTGCCACATCATTCTGGATAAATTTTTTATATGAAAATTCTGTTTGTAAATCATTTTCCTTAAGTAAAATAAATCAAAACTACAACAATGGACCACAATTGAACCTTGATCTCAATCAGGCATGACAAATTGGAATCCAGCCCATTGTGGTCACCTACCAGTTTACCATACACAGACTACCTGTACCAGAAACCATTAAATAAATTGGGTAAGCTAGTTAATAACAAGTCCCATCGGCACCCACGATGTCCATCCAACTGTCCCAGACCAGTCTACAAATTCAAATAATGAACATGCCTATAAATTGAGAAGAAACAACAAAACCAAAAAAAAAAACTGAACAAATTCGTTTTAATAGCCATGAGGACACCTGTTCTTAAAATTGTTTGAGAAGTCCAAAAGATCGAAGGGGTAGAAATAATTCTGTAAAAGGGATAGTAGTAACTTACAAGTAGGCCACATTGTGATTCATTCCAGAAAGGTTGCTTAAATGTCAGTTCACAAAAATATTAAATGTCATTAATGGCATGTGCCACTAACATTTCTATTAATTAGAATAGTCACCTGCATACTTGTTTGAAGTCAGATCCACAACTGAATCGTCTTCCATGCCCGTGTTAAAAGACAAACTCTCGCTTTTACTCATGTTCTCAATTTGAGGGAAGTGATGCCTAATAGTGTAGTCTGCCAAAGTACGAACAATGTCAAGGTCCTCTTGTTTTAGAGGCATGAATCTGGTATGAACCAAAACGCAGAAAGGACTGGGCAACTCTGCAAACTATTGCACCAGGTTCATCCTTTGGATTGCCACTGCATATGAACGAAGTGTGATGAGCAATGAAACAAAAAATTCACTGAATGGATAAAATAACTACTTGAATTCTGAGGTATTCCACGTATTTCTGTCGTTAGGTTCTCAAATTAATAAAACCAGTCTGTCCTTTTGCATCAGTGTAGTCTTGGTACTATTAACATTCAAAAATAAATCATGATAATCTTGATCCCCCACAATTTTTCAACAGTATATACGTTACATCCCAATTTAGCTCATTTAGGAAATCTTTTAGACTGACCAAATTTTTAAAAAAATAATATGTACTTGAATTTGGAACATTGGGGCTGGAGAAGCATCTAGGAGTAGGCTGAAATGAAACCGTCCAACAGTAACATAATATATTTGATTTATGATTACAATTTGTGTAACATACTCATAGAACATGTCCCGAGTAACATATTTTCCAGTAGCCACAAGACAAAGTGCCCGTGTTGTTGGGATGCCTAGACTCTGCATTGCTTCACTACATAGAAACTCCCGTATGCTACTTCGCAGAACTGCAAGACCATCAGCAAACCGGCTATACGGTGTCTTCCCTGCACCCTTAAGCTGCAGCTCCCACCTTTCAGATTTCGAATTCAAAACCTCTCCAAGAGTAATTGCCCGACCATCACCCAACTGACCAGCCCACGTGCCAAACTGATGACCTCCATAGCACTGAGCATAGGGCACTCTGTAAAAGTCAAAAATGGTCAGCAAATTCAAATGGGTTCACCACAAATGTGATGCTAGTGAGATAAAGAAGACACTTACGCTCCCACCAAAGGGGACGCACCAGAGAAAAGAAGTGGGAAATCAGGTCTTTCAAATCTGAAACACAATAACCAGTTAGCCTTGCAGAAAATGAGGCCATATACAAAAAAAGCGGTGAACATGCAAACAAATTCAAGAAAATGAAAATATAACAATAATAGGAGTAAGAAATCCATCAGGATGAGGATAAGAGTGAGAAACAAGAGCCAAGCAAAAACTAGTATTAAGTTTTAATCCCAATTATTTTGGTCAGCTTTGTGGATCAAATAATTATACGATTATCAGAAGCTCAATGTTACTCTAAAACCAGAACTCAGATGACTTCAACGTCTGTAACCCGCCAGGCCAGCTGGTGATGGGAGACATGCATGCAGCAACCCTTTGCCAACACAAGTTGCAACTTGAAAGGTGGAAACATTTTTACTACTGATTACACAATTTAAATACATGCAGTACAATTTTTCAATATGATGAAAGCGTTACTCCCAAAAATAAATAAATAAATTTATAGATAAACAATTTTATGAGGAGAGGGTCCAGTGGCGGAAGGAAAGGGCATTAAGGGAGATTGTCAAAATCCCCATGTTGCACCCCGTCCCTTTCTCTCCTTCAGCAGATCACGCTTTCTATAGAAAGAGTTGTGCAAATAAGTTTCTCCCTTACCATACCGAGACCATATTTAACTATTATTTTTGAACCTCAATAACATCAAAGAGAGATTTTAAATCTAGCGGAAATCATTTTGGCTCAACAAGTTCTCTTGCCTACTATAATGCCATTTCAATTTTACATGCATGCACTGATACATAAGTACACCATTATTCTCATCTCCTAGGCATTCAACTACAGCTGCATACTACAAGCAATGGACCTCAAGGTCTCTCAATTCATAAATTTTACCCCATATCGTTGATGGAAATAATATTCAAATAACTAGCCAACACAGATTAGTTTTTTAAGTATAACTCGGAGAAATTTAACCTCAAGAGTCAGATGCAAGTAGACCAGGTTGTTTTATCAAAATAAACAGATATCCTTTAAAACTTGCCACGCTGAACAAAAAATATAAAGTACTCACTCTTTAGGATCCAAATCAAGCAACTCAGCAACTGATTTTGACCATGCAACAAGCTGAGGGTTCTCCACCTCAACTGACGGGGATACCTTTGTGTAGCAAGCATGCAAGACCTACAAAATGGAATATAGAAAAATAACACGATTAGTGCTTTGATCACAAGTCAATTTGTAGCTAAGTAACTCATACCGACACAGCACACAATTTTCAGAGACAATAATGTCTCTGTAACATAATTAAATTCTCTCCTTTTTTTCTTTTCTTTTTGAGAAGTAAAATAAGTTCTATTAAAAAGTAGGTTTTTGTATTCATCACCTTGATGCTTTCTCAATAAAATTTGATTGTTTATCAAAAATAAAAATAAGTTCTATTAAAAAAAGAATCAAAATGGATGCCATGTCAGTGTCACCCATGTACAAAAACCATGATATCTCGTTCCTTCAAAAACAAAAACGGCCTATAGCTCTTTACAAATGAGAGAATCTATGAAATCAACAAACTGATCGGCTAGGCATAACTGTTAATTTTACAAAGGAAGAAGTAGAAGAAGAAGAAGATGAAGAGTGAGACAGAGAAAATTGCAGCTAGAGAAAAAGAATTACCCAAAACTTCGGGTTCTCCTCTTAGACTCTAGTATTTATAATAAGAGAAATTCTACTTACACCACCAATTTAACTCCTTACACCCTCAAAATTCAATTTTTTTTTATTTTATAATTTTTGTAATTCTTTTATTACCCTTATCCCTAACCTTTCTTCCACTCCTTACACCCAAAACATAAAAAAAACCTAACCCTAACCCTAACCTTAACCCTAATTCTCCCTTACCATGACCTCCATCTTCACCGCTATAGCCCTTGCCGCCGCAACCTTTTGTTGTCGCATCCACCTCACCTCCGCAGCCACCACCCCCGTCTTCCTCCTCCTTAATTTCAATCGATGATGATGGTCGTGGCGGTTAGCGACGGAAAGAGTAACGGCTGCAACAAGGTCCATCTAGATCAAAAATTCTCTCTCTCGTTACTCACTCGCGTGCGCGATGGTGGATGAGACGCAGCGGCAAACGAAGAAAGTGGAAAGGGAGACGTAATGGGTGTGCTAGGAATGTGGTCACAACGGGAGGAGGGGCTTGCGGTGGTCGGAGATGGCAATTCGTTCTTCTTTTTCTTCTTCTCTCAGATCTTAAAACCCTAGGTTTTCATCTCTCTCTCTTGCAGTGGGGCCGTGGCAGAGGAGTGATGAGGGAGTGGTGGTTGCGGCGATGAGGGGGCTACGAAGGTGGTGGTCGTGATGGTCGCAACGGTGAGGTGACAGAGAGGGTGGTGGTTGTGGCAGCGAGATGGTGGCCGGAGGTGATGATGGTTGGTGTTAGGGTTTTTAGGTTTTGGGTGTAAGGAGAAGGGAAAAGGTTAGGGATGAGGGTAATAAAGGAATTATAGAAATTATAAAATACAAAAATTAAAAAAAAAAAATTGAATTTTGAGGGTGTAAGGAGTTAAATCAGTGGTGTAAGTAGAATTTCTCTTATAATAATAGACATAATTATAAATGTACAAAAATAACCTTGGACTCAAATAACCCTAACACTTAACACTTCCCCTCAAGTTGGTGTAAAGTTCAAGAAATTAGGGTTAGGGTTAGAAAGGAAATAGAGAAGAGAAGAGGAGTAGAGAACGCATAGAGAATAGGTTATTGGGTCATAATGAAAAACCATCAACCAACACATATTTATATTAGAAACATTAATGTTACTATGACAATAATACCCTCAACATAAAATAAAATAACATAATAAATCTAACACACTGAATCACTGCTTATTGTCTCAATAGGTACATAATAGATGGCAACACCCGAGGGTGGAAAAAAAGATCCGGCATGGAAGTATGCAATGATGGTAAATCCTAAAAATCTAAGCAAGTTCAAGTGTAATTTTTGTGGAAAAGAGATGAATATGTGCGCACCCTTCTTTATTCATTTTCATCTCTGATTGGTTTCTAGGATCGTTTTTACTAACTTAGATAATTCCATGAATTTGGTTTGACACTTCCCACAAAATTGTTAGTTTTAACTTTTAGTTTGAAGATAATAACTAAATTGAAATTCGACTTGAAATGTTGTGACTAAAACGAACAAATTAAAATAATAAGGTTCAAAATTAAATTATAAAAATGAATATTGTGATTTAGGTTTAACCAATGTGGGACACTCAAAAGGTCCTTGTACTTGATCTTGGGTACAGCTTGCTGAAAGTGATCCACGAGAAACTGTATATATTTCTCACACCATCAAGTATAGTGACAAGGTGGTATTGCATCCTTTGATTCTCCTAGGCATTGGCATAAAAAAATGAAATCCGTTTGACTCTAGTTGTTCAGTTCTCATAATTTTTTTTTTTTGGTTTTTTTTTTTTCTTTTTTTTACATGTAGGAGGTTCGCAAGTTAACAGTTAAATTACTATGTAAGTCAATATTAGTTCATAGATTTAAATTTGAGACCTTGTATTGTAATCCAAGTGTTCTCTCAAGACCATATAACTATGGCCGGAGTCACAGTTCTTATCGATCCTCTAATTTTGATCCTTTTGTATCTACTTCCTTTGAAATTTTATACTTACCAAATGTGTGCACAATAGTAGGTTATACATGCATTTGAAAATTGGTGTTATTGTGTATGCCAAGGTCAAAAATTGGCCCAACAATAAAAAAATCTGAATGTATTTTTAATTCTGTTATTTTTTTATGTTTATAGCAATGTTAAATATCATGTCGAATTTAAGATAAAGTTCAATAAAATACCAAAATCTGACCAAAGCTCTTCTCCTGGATTTTGTTGTGATGGAAGTATTCCCTAAAAATAATTGGGCATTTTACACTATTAAACAACAGTGCTAAATTATAGCATTTTAGCTATGTAACAAGTAACTCCAATAAGATGCAATCGCCAAATTATATTTGGTCCATTCTAAAAAATGCTCCACAACACTCATGTAAAAAATAACATTGTAAAATTATATCCACTCAAACCTTAAAAAATTAATATGTCGGATTTTTTTAAAACCTTAAATGACAAATTAACGTATATAAATTTGATATCTCTAAAAAGAAAACTCCAATTGATGTGTCAAAATTAGTTTTTACTTTACATTTTTTTAACAATTTTTATTTTATTAATTATAATTTATTTTAAATGTATCATTAAAATAGTGAAAAGAATCAAAATTTAACATATATTTTAACCACGTTATATTTAATAGAATAGTGCTTTATGTCAATTCCACATCAAACAATTTGTGAATGTGAGACATAATAGGGGAAAAAAAATTTGGATGCATCAAAATGATATGTGTACTATTAAAATAACATTATTGAAGAATAACATCTTCACAACAATTATTAATGTTGGTATTATCATTTTGACATAAATTCGTAATAAATGCTTAAATATACAAAATTTAACATTGAGATATTATTTAGAGGATTACATCTCAGTGGGACAATTTTTTTTTTTTGCACAAACGTGGAGCGGACTATTGAGCGATGTGCAATGCTTTGCAAAAATACTAGATGATCTCAAAGTACGCTCAAGCGGTAACTTCACCGCTCGAGCAATCCAATCGATATCTGGATTTTTAAAACAGAATTTTAAGCTTCAAAACACAAGTTTCTAAGTCTAAAACTTGCATGGCTGGTACAAACTCTTGAAAACACTTCGAAAAACATGAATATAAAACCAATTTGAAACCATTTACTCAAAAACATCATGAATTTGCAAAATTGAAATCAAAACCTCCATGCATGTGGAATTTCAACTCTCATCACTTTAAAGAACATGAACATGCAATGAAAAGCAAGCTTTACAGAAAATATTGCGAAATATGCTAGGTTTAAACTTCCGTGCATGCTAGAATAACAAATTCAAAACAAAATGATGAAACATGAGAATTTCAACCATGAACATGATCCTAGCTTGTTTTCATCATCTTCTTGACATTCCTTAACAATTTACATGAAATTCATCCTAATTACTTCATGAATCCAACTCTCAAATGACTTATCTTCAAGATTTAAGGTTGTAATTCTTACCTAGAGTCTTTAATTTGACATATTCTAGCAAATTCTTGAATCTCTTCCTCGATTCTTCACAATCGTTCAACTCTCTCTCTCTCTAGAGTTTGCTCTCCTTCTCTCTCTCTAAATCTCAACCAAGTTGATGAAACAAAATGAGCTCAAATCTCACTTTAACATATATACAGGTTAGATTAGCTTAAGTTAATTAAGTAAGCTTAAGGCTAATTAATCCCACTCAATTCTAATTAATTAATTTTAATCTGAATAAAATTTTAATTAAACTTCCCAAATGGTTCTAAATATTCAAATTAGCCTATTCAACTTGTCAATTCTAGTTTCTGATTTCATTTAAGCCTTCAATTTCTAATTCAAAACAGGTAGTCTAACAGATATTCCATAATTCAAACAAATATAAACAAATTAAACACATAACACACATTTGAACATTCAAATTTCACATAATCAAGATAAATTCAACAATGATATGCATGTTGGGGTCGTCACAGTCTCTCCCCCTTAGAAAGTTTGGTCATCCAAAGTTAAGTTACTTTTATTCAAAAATAGATGTGGATACTGTTGTCGCATATCAATTTCTTTCTCTTATGTAGCCTCTTTTTCGTAGTGTTCTTTCCACTCCACCTTAACCATTAGAATTGATCTATTTTGTAATTGTTTCACTTGTCGATTAATAATTTGTACTGGATTTCAAAACTTTTACCCCTCCCTCTCCTTTAAATATATATTTTTGTGTTTTTTTGTTTATGCAATAATGTATATATTTGATAAAGTGTGTATAACTGTTCGCAACCTAATTTTTCAGTTTTTTTTGTATTGCAAATATTTCCAGGTATGAGAAATCAGGACATGTGATTGGTAGTGAATACGTGTTGCATGCTTATGGTCTTATCTATGTTCTTTCTGCAGAGGTGGTAGCATCACTGGCAATTGCTAGAAATAACAGGTCTGTCCATAACAATATGTAGTTTATTTTGCATGATCTCTTTATTGTGGTTTCTGTATATATATATATATATATATATGTTATGTTTGTTTGGTTTTGTTCTAGTTAGTCATGTTATCACATTGACATTCATTTGGTGAAGTAGGTTGGTTTCTTGGATTTTAGGATGTCTAATTGAATGCTAGATGACATTCTATGGAAGAGTTGACATTCTAAGCTTTGAGCAAGGTTTTGTGCTCTTTATACATGGATTCAAGGTTGAGGCTTACGATTCATTATGGTCATGAGCATGTCTCAAATTCTCCATGAGGGCAAAATATCTTACCTCTTTAAGTCAAAGGCACAAAATCTATAAGCATATATATTATGGACAAAGAGATAACCCGTCCTAATGTGGCCATTCTGACTTTTTCTACCACATATCTGGTGAGGGACTGAGGGTTTACAACAGAATGACAGATTGCATAGCATTTGAATTACATGTGCAGTAGAAGATGTGGAAAATTACAATCTTGTTTACTAGAATCCATTTAAGTACTTTGTAAACCCACTAGTAGGACATTTGTAGCCCTTTCTTCATTTTATTTTTTATTTTTCGCTACAAGAAAGTTTGGCCTTCCCAATTATGTGCACTTTTTGATCCTTCCAACTTTTATGGTTTCATATTATTTTTTTCAAGTTGGACAACTTTTTTATTTGCAGCAAATAAAATTTACTACAGTATATAGTTCCTTAATGCTTACTGTGCTATTACCTTTCATGATTATAATTTAATCAGTTTAAATTCATAAATGATGAAACCTTTTTATTAAATCTAATAGGGAGCTTTTGAACTCGGCAAAGCTTTTTGGTCTCATTCATTCACTAAAATGTAAATTATAGTGCTTTCTTAGTTATATAGTGCTTGCTTCATTATTCATTGAACTGGGCAAAACTTTACATAAATTATAGTGCTTGCTTAGTTATTTCGGGTCGCAGATGATTGAATAGGAATAGAGCTTAACACTTGGTATGGAAAAAGGGCGTTAAGGGGGCGAAAATAGGAAACAGCCCCCGAACTACCGTATGGATGTCACGGTCACCTTCCCCATCATAAATAGGAGCTGGGACAACAGACGGAATTTAATTAGCCCGTGTAGGTTGGGAGTTAGAGCCGAAAACGCCTTAAACCTAACCGAAAAAGGGTCTTAAGGGGGCGAAAATAGGAAACAGCCCACGAACTACCGTATGGATGTCACGGTCACCTTCCCCATCATAAATAAGAGCTGCGACAACAGACGGAATTTAATTAGCCCATGTAGGTTGGGAGTTAGAGTCGAAAACGCCTTAAACTTAACCAAAAAAGGGCCTTAAGGGGGAAAAATAGGAAATAGCCCCCAAACTACCGTATGGATGTCACGGTCACCTTTCCCATCATAAACAGGAGCTGGGACAATAGACAAAATTTAATTAGCCCGTGTAGGTTGGGAGTTAGAGCCGAAAACGCCTTAAACTTAATCGAAAAAGGGCCTTAAGGGGGCGAAAATAGGAAACAACCCCCGAACTACCGTATGGATGTCACGGTCACCTTCCCCATCATAAATAGGAGCTGCGACAATAGACGGAATTTAATTAGCACGTGTACGTTGGGAGTTAGAGCCGAAAACACCTTAAACTTAACCGAAAAAGGGCGTTAAGAGGGCGAAGCTGCGAAACAGCCCCCAAACCACCGTTTGGATGTCACGGCCACCTTCTCTATAACAAATAGGACCTATGACAATAAACGGATTGTAATTAGCACGTGTAGGTTGGGAGTTAAAGCCGAAAACGCCTTAAACTTAACTGAAAAAGGGCCTTAAACTTAAACTTAGCACGTGTAGATTGACTAATTTTTATTTATATAGTCTTGCTATATCAATTGGTATATTTGTTGTGTTATTCATCTCAGTTATCTAATTTTTTCCTTCTCCATAAGCTAAATTACTTGTTAAATAAATTGAACCATATTCTGTTTAAACAAAAATCAAGCTCTGCATTTTTTATTACTTACCTCACTGGTTTTTGTTACAGATTGATAATGTTGGCATGGATACAGTGATGTTTTTGGGCCAGATTGATGATGTTTGCATGGGCGCAATTTACATTATATTTTTTGTTTATGGAAAACATGTACAGCTGATATATTTTGTTATTACGTTTTTTTTTTTTTTTGTAGTTTGAATTGTAATTGTTGGTTCGAATAGTATATGTATTTGTTAGATTATACCATGTCTATGGATTCTTATTTTTTTTTGATATGTACGGTTAATAGTTAAGTTGTGTATATGGTTGAAAATTGAATGCTACAGGTTATGGAGAAATATTTTTATTGAATGGTTGAGAATTGAATGAATGAATGGATGGATGAATAATTTTGTATATGCACAGGTTACAGGTGACTCAAAAAGTATTATTTCTTGTAGTGTTATTTGGTGTTAGAACATGTGTGTTGTTTTTTCTTAATGGGTTGAGCTTCCGAAAAAAACTCTGCGTTAATGTTGACTTGTATTGGGTTATTGTTATATGCACAGGTTACAAGTGAATATAATATTTTTACTCACCAAACATACAAATAGATTTGTATACATTTTTTTTTTTTGTTGAGGAGTGCTCTTTCGGTAATTGATTATTTCACGAAGTGGGTGGAAACTCAGTCTTAGGTCATGTGTTGCTCTCCTTTATGGATGGATTCTTTCCCTTGCAATTCTTTATTAGTTCATCACTTTCTTTATTGAATTGCAATGAGTTAATGAATGTTCTGGATTAATGAATGGACTCAGTCAGATTTCTTTAATGCTTTGGAATTTTCATGTTCGGTCTTTGAATTTGCAATCATTAGATTAAACATTAAGCTTTTAATGTTTGGTTTAGAAATAAGTGTAATATAGTGTGTATAGTTATGTATCTTGATATATAACTGTTAAATTTCTAGAGATTAGGTGGCATGTTTGTTATGAATAATAGGAATATATGTTGAATTAAAAAAATACTTAAGGTTTGTGTTAAAAATTTGTGTTAATATACAACTCCATTTTTTGTACCCACTTTATAGACTCAGTGATGTGTAAAGAAATTTTTTGTACCCACTTTATTTAGTTTTTTTAATTTTGTTTATGAATTTTTTTTTTTAAAAAAAAAAACAAATTTACTTGTTAGATGATTACGAAGACTTTTGAAAAAACTTAAACTTATTTTAAAAATTTGTGTTAATAATTTTTCTTGTACTTTTTATGAGAGTATTACTAGGTTTGTGTTAAAAATTTGTGTTACATGTCATGAAAATTTAATATCAAAGAGAGAGACAGAGTGTGAAAACAAAATTAAAGTTTGTGCTTTCAAATTTGTAGATAGCAGGAGTGTCATGAAAATTTACCCCCACCAATTATCCCACAAAATGAGATTAAAATAGAAATATAATATCATGAATTCAAGTAAACACAAAATCACAACAATGATGCATTACATAACAACAACATATTGTACAAGTTCACATTAGAAAGATACAAAACTTAATGCACCATCTATTCTAATAGAACATGGAAAATGTTAGGGTGAGGAAAACAAATGCATTTTGACAGATAAAACAGAATTTGTTAGCTGGAGAAACAATCTCAAAGCCAAAAAATTTGGTCCAGTTGGGGGACTAATAAAGTTAAGACAGACGAACTGCCGCATTCAACAACACGTAAAACAGAACAGGTAGCTCAGTCAAAAGCTTTCCTTAACTGGGGCCCCTTAAATAGTGATCCTCTTCTTAAAGAATTTCAATCTCCATCAGGAAAGATGAAAGAGTCACCTTTCAATTTCTGGAAGTCCAGTCAAAATGATGACTCTGGTAAGGAATGGGGGATTGACAAAAAGCTAAACTTGGGGGCTGGACAAACAAGCTCAAAGCCAAGTGGTTGGTCCAGTTGGGGGACTAATAAAGTCCAGACACACGAACTATCGCCTTCAACAACACGTAAAACAGAACAGGTAGCTCAGTCAAAAGCTTCTCCTTAACTGGGGCTCCTCAAATAGTGACCCTCTTCTTAAAAAATTTCAATCTCCATCAGGAAAGACGAAAGAGTCGCCTTTCAATTTCTGGAAGTCCAGTCAAAAGGATGACTTTGGTAAGGAATGGAGGGTTGACAAAAAACTAAACTTGGGGGCTGGATAAACAAGCTTAAAGCCAAGTGGTTGGTCAAGTTGGAGGACTAATAAAGTCTAGAAAAACGAACTACCGCATTCAACAACATGTAAAATAGAACAGGTAGCTTAGCCAAAAGCCTCCCTTAACTGGGGCTCCTCAAATAGTGATCCTCTTCTTAATGAACTTCAATCTCCATCAGGAAAAACGAAATAGTCGCCTTTCAATTTCTGGAAGTCCATTCAAAATGATGACTCTGGCAAAGAATAGGGAGTTGACAAAAAACCAAACTTGGGAGCTGGACAAACAAGCTCAAAGCCAAGTGGTTGGTCCAGTTGGGGGACTAATAAAGTCCAAACACACGAACTACCACCTTTAACAACATGTAAAACAGAACAGGTAGCTCAGTCAAAAGCTTCCTTTAACTGGGGCTCCTTAAATAGTGATCCTCTTCTTAAAGAATTTCAATCTCCATCAAGAAAGACGAAAGAGTCGCCTTTCAATTTCTGGATGTCCAGTCAAAATGATGACTCTGGTAAGGAATGGGGGGTTGACAAAAAACTAAACTTAGGGGCTAGACAAACAAGCTCAAAGCCAAGTGGTTGGTCCAGTTGGGGGTCTAATAAACTCCAGACACACGAACTACCACCTTCAACAACACGTAAAACAGAACAGGTAGCTCAGTCAAAAGCTTCCCTTAACTGGGGCTCCTCAAATATCGATCCCCTTCTTAAAGAATTTCAATCTCCATCAGGAAAGACGAAGGAGTCGCCTATCAATTTCTGGATGTCCAGTCAAAATGATGACTCTAGTAAGGAATGGGGGGTTAACAAAAAACTAAACTTGGGGGCTAAACAAACAAGCTCAAAGCCAAGTGATTGGTCTAGTTGGGGGACTAATAAAGTCCAGACACACGAACTACCGCCTTCAACAACACGTAAAACAGAACAGGTAGCTCAATCAAAAGCTTCTCTTAACTGGGGCTCCTCAAATAGTGATCCTTTTCTTAAAGAATTTTAATCTCCATCAGGAAAGACGAAAGAGTCGCCTTTCAATTTATGGAAATCCAGTCAAAATGATAACTCTGGTAAGGAATGGAGGGTTGACAAAAAAGGAAACTTGGGGGCTGGACAAACAAGCTCAAAGCCAAGTGGTTGGTCCAGTTGGCGGACTAATAAAGTCCAGACAAACGAACTACCGCCTTCAACAACACGTAAAACAGAATAGGTAGCTCAATCAAAAGCTTCCCTTAACTGGGGCTCCTCAAATAGTGATCCTCTTTTTAAAGAATTTCAATCTCTCTCAGGAAAGACGAAAGAGTCGCCTTTCAATTTCTGGATGTCCAGTCAAAATGATGACTCTGGTAAGGAATGGGGGATTGACAAAAAACTAAACTTGGGGGCTGGACAAACAAGCTCAAAGCCAAGTGGTTGGTCCAGTTGGGGGACTAATAAAGTCCAAACACACGAACTACCGCCTTCAACAACACGTAAAACAGAACAGGTAACTCAGTCAAAAGCTTCCCTTAACTAGGGCTCCTCAAATAATGATTCTCTTCTTAAAGAATTTCAATCTCTATCAGGAAAGACAAAAGAGTCGCCTTTCAATTTCTGGAGGTTCAGTCAAAATGATGACTCTAGTAAGGAATGGGGGGTTGACAAAAAACTAAACTTGAGGGCTGGACAAACAAGCTCAAAGCCAAGTGGTTGGTCCAGTTGGGGGACTAATAAAGTCCAGACACACAAACTACCGCATTCAACAACACGTAAAACAGAATAGGTAGCTCAGTCAAAAGCTTCCCTTAACTGGGGCTCCTCAAATAGTGATCCTCTTCTTAAAGAATTTCGATCTCCATCAGGAAAGACGAAAGAGTCGCCTTTCAATTTCTGGAAGTCCAGTCAAAATGATGACTCTGGTAAGAAATGGGGGGTTGACAAAAAACTAAACTTAGGGGCTGGGCAAACAAGCTCAAAGCCAAATGGTTGGTTCAGTTGGGGGATTAATAAATTATTTTTAATATATACAAGCAAACAAAATCTTAAGTTTGACAAACTCTTTTAAAAAATGTAATTATAATATTCATTTCAAAATACAAAACCATACGGATCATCTATTTGCATAAATTCCATTTTGACCCAATACTTTTATATTCAATTACATTTTCATTCCAACAATATTTTCATACACTAGTCTTCCAATACTATTGCGTTAAGTGGTTGTGCGTGAGATTTGCAAATTTATTACGAGTGATTTCCAGAAAAAATCAAAATAAAAATTAATCTTCCCCTTCTATATGGGGTTAAGTAGGCCTGCGTGGGATTTACAAATTTGTTATGATTGATCTGCGGATGGGTACGTTACGACTAATGTTCAGTTGATGTTGTAAATGTTTCCCAAAATATTACAAATTGAATATTCAAAAGTTGATTTTAAAATAATTCCAAATGACAACAAAAATTCAAGTAGTCATAGTTTTCAATGAAATACAAATAGTTGGTCGTAACAACGAATGATGCATAGCTAAGTGAAACACAACATTTCCTTTCTTATTACAGTGACAATTCAGAAAGTCACATGGCAACAGTGAATTCATTGATTTACCTTACAGTGAGCATGCCCTTATTTTGTCGGTATATGCAGATGGATTGTCAAGTCATGTGACTTGGTGCACAGGCTCTGGTTTTCTCGATTTTTTGCTCAATTTTTTTATTTCAATAATAACTCACCTCTTATTGATTTATGTGGGATTCTCAATTCAGAAAGTTACATGGCAACAGTGAATTCACTGATTTACCTTACAGTGAACATGCCCTTATTTTGTCGGTATATGCAGATGGATTGTCAAGTCATGTAACTTGGTGCACAGGCTTTGGTTTTCTCGATTTTTTGCTCAATTTTTTTATTATCGTGACAACTCACCTCTTATTGATATATGTGGCATTCTCAATTCAGAAACTCACATGGCAACAGTGAATTCACTGATTTACCTTACA